CTCCCAGCGACTTCGTCCGCAAGATAACCAGCGACAGCGAGAGGTCAAACACAGGCCTACTGATAGGTTGCGATGTAAGGGGTGAGTCACTTTTCAGCTTTATCCTAAACTCGAATCTGGTTCTCTGTAATCGGGGGAATGACCCCACCTTCATTATAAAGAACCGACAGGAGGTCATAGACCTCACCCTAGTGTCCCATAGCATACTAGGCTTTATCAAGGACTGGAGAGTCCTAGAAGAGCACTCCTTCTCCGACCATAGGTATATAAAGACGATAATATCTCTCGAATGCCCAATGGCCAGGAAAGCCCACTGGCAGGCATATTCTAAAACCCTGGAAGAACTTCTTCCCCCAACAGCATCAACATACCCTGATACACAAGATGACCTTAACAGTCTTGTAAATAGATTCACGGAGGCATGTAATAAAGCCTTCAGGGCAGCGTGTCCCCCCATTAAACCGAGAGGGAAGAAGAAACCCCCCAGAAACCGTTGAAGTCCTACGTAAAAGCTGCAGAGCCAATTTTAATAAAGCCAAAAACAGCAACGAGGACGATCTATGGGCAGACTACAAGACCAGCCTTGCCCTTTACAAAAAAGAAACTAGGAGAGCGAAAAGAGCCTCCTGACAAAAATTCTGTACCAAAATCGAAGAAACGTCAGAAGCCGCAAGGTTGCGCAAGATCCTCTCGAAAACGAATACCTCTGTGGGATACATCAAGAGTACAGATGGGGCATGGAACAACTCCAGCAAGGAGTCCCTACACATCCTACTCGATACCCACTTTCCAGGGTGTACAACCACCGAAGCACCGGAACGCCCCGGTGAAGGCCCAGCCACATCGATGGCGCACCTACTCACAAAACGGAACATTTGCTGGGCGGTGAACAGCTTCAAACCGTTCAAATCGCCAGGTCCAGACAAGGTGATCCCAGCTCAACTTCAGAGAGCTGGGGAACAACCTATCCGCTGGCTGCAATGTATCTTCAAAAAGATACTAAAGGTAGGAAAGATTCCTAAAGCATGGCTCAAGGCAGAAATTGTCTTCATCCCGAAAGCGGGAAAAGCCTCCAACTCGACGGCAAAGGACTTCAGACCGATTAGTCTGACCTCCTTTCTCCTAAAAACATTTGAAAGAATAGTCGGTCTACATCTGAGGACAATCATCAACCCTCAGATGCTGGCAGACTCACAACACGCATACCGGAAAGGTAAATCCACGGAAACGGCCCTACATGAAGTGATTTCAGGTATAGAGAAAGCTCTACACCTTAAGGAATACTCCCTAGCAGCCTTTCTCGATATTGAGGGAGCCTTCAACAACGTCGAGCCAGGAGCCATTACGGCGGCCATGACTGACCTGGGGGTGGACTGCCACTTGGTGATGCTCATCGATCAAATGCTCACATGCAGGACGGTGATATCATCAATGGGTTCGTCCACTCAGACAAGGTATGTAAACAGGGTCACCCCGCAAGGAGGTGTCCTGTCTCCCCTCCTATGGAACATTGCAGTCAATAAGATTATATGTGACTTGGAGGGGGGTGGTTGCAAGGTAGTGGCATATGCGGACGACGTTGTCCTTGTGTTCACGGGAAAATTCCCCCAAACACTCTGTGATCTTATGACCACAAAACTTGCTCGATTGTCAGAATGGACAAGATCGTGCGGATTAGGTGTAAATGCCTCGAAAACGGAACTTGTGCTATTCACTAAAAAGTACAAAACTCAGCAACTCAACCACCCAACACTAAACAAATGTATGTTAACCTTTAGCGACAGTGCCAGTTACCTTGGGTTGGTAATAGACAGGAAGTTAAATTGGAACCTAAATACGAAAGAAAGAGTGAAGAAGGCCACTATGGCCCTATACACCTGCAAAAAAGCCATCGGACTAAAATGGGGTATGAACCCACGTAATACCAACCGCAATACAACCAATACTGATCTACGGAGTCACAGTATGGTGGCCGGCTCTGTCAAAAAAGACAATCACCGCTTAACTGGCAAAGGTCCAACGAACGCATCAGTGGCGCTCTCCGCACCAGACCAAATGATGCACTAAATGCCATCCTATGCCTGCAGGGCATAGACTTTACAGGGAAGGAACAGGCAGCAAGGGCAGCAATACGTCTGCGAGATTCGGACCTATGGACGTCACGACCATATGGTCACTCAGCGATCCTTAGGGACACTAATATAATACCTCATAGGACTGATTATTGCGTTCCCAGAGAGTACACAGACATCCCCTTCGAGGCTAAAANCATCGATCAATTGCTCACATGCAGGACGGTGACATCATCAATGGGTTCGTCCACTCAGACAAGGTATGTAAACAGAGGCACCCCGCAAGGAGGTGTCCTGTCTCCCCTCCAATGGAACATTGCAGTCAATAAGATTCTATGTGACTTGGAGGGGGGTGGTTGCAAAGTAGTGGCATATGCAGACGACGTTGTCCTAATGTTCACGGGAAAATTCCCCCAAACACTCTGTGATCTTATGACCACAAAACTTGCTCGATTGTCAGAATGGACAAGATCGTGCGGATTAGGTGTAAATGCCTCGAAAACGGAACTTGTGCTATTCACTAAAAAGTACAAAACTCAGCAACTCAACCACCCAACACTAAACAAATGTATGTTAACCTTTAGCGACAGTGCCAGTTACCTTGGGTTGGTAATAGACAGGAAGTTAAATTGGAACCTAAATACGAAAGAAAGAGTGAAGAAGGCCACTATGGCCCTATACACCTGCAAAAAAGCCATCGGACTAAAATGGGGTATGAACCCACGTAATACCAACCGCAATACAACCAATACTGATCTACGGAGTCACAGTATGGTGGCCGGCTCTGTCAAAAAAGACAACCACCGCTGAACTGGCGAACTTCCAACGAACGGCCACTCTTTGCATCAGTGGCGCTCTCCGCACCACACCAAATGACGCACTAAATGCCATTCTACGCCTGCAGGGCATAGACCTTGCAGGGAAGGAATAGGTAGCAAGGGCAGCAATACGTCTATGGACGTCACGACCATATGGTCACTCAGCGATCTTTAGGGACACTAATATAATACCTCATAGGTATCCAGCCATATCCATAGGTACCCAGTACCATAGGTACCCAGCCACCCCCTTCGAGGCTAAAATCCCCCCCAGAGAGGAATGGCTCGAGGGCCAACCTGGTCCTACGGGGGCAATCAACATCTTTACTGATGGATCCAAGCTAGACAACAAAGTTGGCGGAGGAATCTACTCCAGGCAACTAAATATGAGGCATTCCTTTCGCCTTCCAGACCACTGCAGTGTCTTCCAAGCGGAAGTCATTGCTATAAATGAAGCGCTAAGATGCCTTCAAGAGATCTCAGTCGCGGCTACTCACCTAAACATATATAGTGACAGCCAGGCGGCACTAAAAGCACTAAACGCGATTTCGTCGAATTCGACCACAGTGGCAGATTGTCGCAAATCTCTACACGAGATGGCAAGGCAATATGTTATTAGCCTAACGATCAACAACCACTAATCTTTTAGAGTTCACCTCCTTTGTCATTAAAGGATTCCAAGGTAACTTGCAGACGGATGTTATTTACACTGACTTCAGTAAGGCATTCGATTCTGTAAACCATTCTCTTCTTGCACAAAAGCTCGACCTTCTAGGGTTTCCGCCCAATATTTTGAGATGGATTTCTAGCTACCTGTGTTCTAGGTCTCAAAGGGTACTTTTCAAAAACTCCTTATCTTTACCTGTTATGGTTACTTCTGGAGTACCACAGGGTTTAGGCCCCTTACTTTTCACACTATTTATGAATGACCTGACTTCTGTATTAACAAATTCTCGAGTACTTATGTATGCGGATGATGTTAAGCTCTGTGTCCAGTATAAGGACATTTCATTTCACTCTCGCTTGTTATCTGATCTCAATTGCTTTGAGTCATGGTGCTGTGCAAATATGTTACAACTTAATGCCTCGAAGTGCAATGTAATGACTTTTTGGCTCCTGGCTCCCTACACCCTCTGCGGTAGTTCTCTTGAGAGAATTACATTGGTTGATGATCTAGGTGTTAAACTAGACCCCAAGTTAAAGTTTTCTGAAAACATTTCTACCATGGTAAATAAAGCCATGGGTGTGCTTGGGTTTATAAAGAGGTGGTCAAAGGAATTTGATGACCCCTATATAACTAAGACTCTCTATATCTCGCTTGTTCGTCCGATTTTAGAATACGGCTCATGTGTATGGTGACCTCAGTACAATATACATCAGGACCGTATTGAATCAGTACAGAAAAGCTTTTTATTATTTGCCCTACGGGGCCTCAACTGGGATGCAACTGTGAGACTGCCATCCTACCGTAGTAGACTTCTTTTAATAAATCTTCCATCCTTAGTTAGTCGTAGAAAAATGCTTGGTGTAATTTTTATGCACAACTTGATCAAGGGGGATGTAGACAGCCCTCACTTATTGAGCCGCATAAACTTTACGATTCCCATTAGACCCACTAGAAACTTTATTCCTTTGTTCCTTCCACTATGTAGATCGAATTATGCCTCACACGAACCCTTTAGGGTTTTATGCTCGGATTAGAATTCCCTCTACCACATTATATCCTCAAGTAACTCCCTTCCTCTTCTTAAATTTCTTATACTAGCCTACCTCTCCCGTAGTTACTTTCATTTTAGTTTTGTCTTGTTTGTGATTTTGGTAATTTTTGCAACGAATCGATATCATCGAGATCAGATCAATACAAATCGAGATTAAAAGGAGCTTATAATCGGATTGTAGATAGAAAGGACGTACGAGCGCTGGCCAAGCCAATTAGCGCGGCGCGCAGTACGCCGTCGCGGGGAGCCAGCCAACCCGCCCTCCTCCCGACGCAAGACGACCCAAGGCGCGCTAACAGGCTTTGGCTTGCGGTATATTTTGAAATTTAAAGGGTGTATTTTCGAGGGTCTGACAGCATATTTTATAGAGCCTCAGAAAATAAAAACAGTTTCACTAACTAAGCAATTTGTATTTGTAAAGGAAAATGAAAGAAGAATGGGAGAGAGAGAGTATGCCGATTTTGCCAGTGTTAAACGCAGAGGATACTGCTCACTTTTTCCCTCTACCTCAACAAAACCATGGTTCCTAAATAGAAATAAGCTAAAAGCCATTGACGCTAAAAGGATAAATAGACTGCTTAGCGGCAGTGCATTTGATAGGCACACACTTGCCAAAATGCACGTAGTCGCAAGTAACATTTGTGATACTTGCGATACTATCGATGACGCATTGCATATAATTTTTAATTGTACCAAGTACAACACAACAAGACTAAACTACCCATCGCTAAGGAAATATAATAATATCTATAAATTCTTCGCAAAAGAACAAATTAGCTCTCACCAAACTTTAATCGAGTTCATCGACAAAATTTGAGTAAAACTGTAACAAGTTACATATCTCGACGTGGCGATTTCCAACTTGTAAAGGCGGGCGGCCAAACAATCCCCCTCTACCCAAGGGTAGAGCGGTAACATAAAACCTCAAAAAAAAAAAAAAGAAAAAGGAAAATGTCGCTTGCGGACGAATTACTGGCTGACCTTGAGGAGGACAACGACAATGAGCTGGACGAGGATGATACTGAAATGGGAAATGCCGAGGATGAAAAAGTAAGAATAAATATAATGCCCCAAACCTACAAGCTTGAAAGGAGTACCTCTTACAGGAATTGGCGGAAAAACTATTGAAGCCAGCTCCAAATTTGATGGACGTGGATGTCACAGTGCAGTCGGTGCGCGAGCTGTGTAAGTTACGTGACTCGAAGCGTTTGCAGGATACACTCCAGCAGATCGAACATTACGCCAGTAGACAGAGGACCGCCGCCGAAATGCTGGGCAGCGTGGAGTCCGACCCGGAATACTGTCTAATTGTGGACGCCAATGCCATTGCCGTAGACATTGACAACGAGATCTCCATAGTGCACAAGTTCACCAAGGAGAAATATCAGAAGCGCTTCCCAGAACTAGATTCGCTGATAGTTGGCGAAATTGAGTATTTGCTTGCGGTCAAGGAGTTGGGCAATGACCTGGACCAGGTGAAAAGCAACGAGAAGCTACAGGCCATACTTACGCAGGCCACCATTATGATTGTCTCTGTGACAGCCTCCACTACGCAAGGTACCATGCTGACGCCGGCGGAAAAGGCCAAAATTGATGAAGCCTGTGAGATGGCCATTGAGCTAAATAACTTCAAGTCAAAAATTTATGAATACGTTGAGAGCCGCATGACCTTCATAGCCCCAAATCTTTCCATGATAATCGGTGCTTCCACGGCGGCCAAACTTTTAGGAATCGCTGGCGGTCTCACCAAGATCTCTAAGATGCCGGCCTGCAATGTTCAGGTCTTGGGATCACAAAGGAAAACTCTTTCGGGCTTCTCACAGACACAGATGCTTCCGCATACGGGCTATGTTTATTACTCGCAGATTGTCCAGGACACGGCGCCGGATTTGCGACGTAAGGCGGCTAGGTTGGTTGCAGCCAAAGCCGTTCTGGCTGCTCGTGTGGATGCCTGTCATGAGAGCATCCATGGCGAAATTGGATTGCGGTTCAAAGAGGACATTGAAAAAAAGCTGGACAAGCTGCAGGAGCCACCGCCGGTGAAGTTTATCAAGCCGCTCCCCAAGCCCATTGAGGGAAGCAAGAAAAAGCGTGGAGGAAAACGCGTGCGCAAGATGAAAGAACGGTATGCCCTGACTGAGTTCCGGAAGCAGGCGAACCGCATGAATTTTGGTGATGTAGGTGGACGCCGAGATTTGTTGAGAATTTATGTAATATTTTTTGTTTGTATTCCAGATCGAAGAGGATGCCTACCAGGGCGATTTGGGCTACTCCCGTGGCACCATTGGAAAGACCGGAACTGGCCGTATCCGCTTGCCCCAGGTGGATGAGAAGACTAAGGTGCGCATCAGCAAGACTCTGCACAAAAACCTGCAGAAACAGCAGGTATATGGCGGCAACACAACGGTCAAGCGCCAAATCTCTGGCACGGCCTCTAGTGTAGCCTTCACGCCACTGCAGGGTCTGGAGATTGTGAATCCGCAGGCGGCGGAACGATCACAAACGGAAGCCAACGCAAAATACTTTTCCAATACCTCCGGGTTTCTCTCTGTTGGAAATTGAACAACTTAAAATAATGGTCCTTTTGTCTATACTATCAAATGAAGCACTTTTATTAATAAATTTGTCTGGCTTAAAATGAGATAGGCGTTGTAAAGCTGCAATAAAGCTGTAAAGGAGATTCTAGTTGTTAGCTCAGTTTTCCCGCGTCCAACTTGCGTTGTATGGCTTCCCAGGAATTGTTCAGCAGAACAGCCAAAATGCCGGCCACCGTGAAGACCCCGCCAATAATGGAGCAACAGTTTGTGGCAAAATGGCCAAAGGAGCTGGTATAATAAATTCCGCAAATTATTTGTTGACGCTCTAAGATCAGATGATCTTTCTATGATGTTAACTAACCTGTGTTTTTGTGCATATTTTACCATCAACGGCGATAGTTCATAGCTGAAGAATATGCCCGGCATTCCCCTTTCGCGATCTGTAAGATCTTTGCGGTATCGTGTGACGGAGAATTGATTTGTGTAAATTGGCTGGCCATCTCTCTGGCGCATATATAGTGTAGGTACGATTTTTAAGTAATAATTGAACATTTCGCTTTTGGTTTCTGTAAAAAAAAAATTAATAAATTTTTTTTTTTTTTTTTTTTTGTTACCGCTCTACCCTTGGGTAGAGGGGGATTATTTGGCCGCCCGCCTTTACAAGGTGGAAATCGCCACGTTGAGATATGTAACTGGTTACAGTTTTACACCATTACTTACCTGGCGTAGAGGTTATCAGGCGTGTATTGGAAATTACGTTTTTCCTCTAGTAATAAATCTTATATCGCTTGTACGATATTTCAGTGGCAGCTATTAAACAACGTGGCAACCCTTGCCCCATTTGACAGCTCACACACAATGTCACACATACATATGTATATATCACATTCACTTCACAGTAGCTTCGTTCGGTCACAAAGTCTAGCTAATAATATATAATACATCGAAAATATACTGATTGTTGATAATTTCATCGAGCTTTTACAGCACGAACCGAAGAAGCGACTCTCGCGACTTTGGTTTCCTCGCCAACAACACATCTGCGGACAATAAAAAGAGAACGGTATGCCGTTGCCTTCGAGCTCCTTCTCCCAGCAGGGACCCACATGCTTTGATAAGATGAAGACTGGCTTTATCATTGGCTTCTGCGTCGGCATGGCCAGTGGAGCATTATTCGGGGGCTTCTCGGCCCTCAGGTGAGTTGGCTTTAGAATACACTGTGGAAAATGACGCAAGCTCAGATACTTTGTTATGTAATTATGCCGGCTAACTAACGACTGAAACTCGCTTTTGTAGATACGGACTACGTGGACGCGAGCTTATCAACAATGTCGGAAAGGTGATGATACAGGGCGGTGGAACTTTTGGCACCTTCATGGCCATTGGTACAGGAATTCGCTGTTGAGCGAACATAGCAGCCTCTAGAGACACCCTTCTACTGGCATTTTTGGCGAAGTTTTAGACTATACACACTTAAACTAATAATTATTCAAGCATTGTTTAAATTACGCTAAGTTATTGCAATAGAGACTTTAAATGAACCCTCCCGATGCGTACACACCTGCAACGTCCACACGCAGACCGTCCAGGGGATGCGTCTTGGCAAACTCTATCTTCTCCCCAAAGGACAAATGGTTGATTGTGTGGGAGAGCTTTACATTGCTAAACTGGAAGTCGTGTATGTGGAACTGACGTATGGAGAAGCTCTTGCCGGGAGCAAAATGGAAGCTGCCCGCCATTCGATTCACCTCAAGGTGTCCCTGTATGCGACAACCCTCTTTGAAGGCGTCCTCATCGGTGCGTTTGTACTTTCCCTTGCACTGCTCGATCTTGTCGACTTGGACGTTCCACTTGCGCAGGCGGTAAGCATCCAGAACTTCCTCGCACGTGTTGCAACAACTGGGAAATTTTGTTTAATCGTTTTTAGGTGCTTTCCCAGCGATACTTTTTGATGATTTATTAGCTTACTGCGTTGCGTTGTGCTCGGCCCCGTAGCAGCTGCCGCATGTGACATTCTTGTTCGGCGGCGAGACGGCCACAATTTCCTTGATGGGCGTCTCCTTGAGTGGCTCACCCTTCAGGTCGAGCCTATGCTTGAATATATCGTGGTCCACCCGCAAGTGTGTGTCGCCAGACGAGTCCATCGCGTCCAGTGATATATAGTTGCAGGCCAAGTTGTGAAGTGTGACATCCAAATTTATGCGCAGCTTGTGGCCTCTTGTGGTGTCCACAAACAGCTCCTCGTTCAGTGCGGGCTGCATGTAGTTTAGAAACTCGAGGAAGATCAGCAGGCTTATAATGCTGGTACTGATGATAGTTACTGATAAAAATAGTACCGGTTGATTGTGTTCTATTTTCGTATCTAAGCTAATGTTTAAAACACTCACCAGCGGCGCCACCCACTGTGCGCACACTGAAATCGTCCAAAGTGCGGGGGTAGGCGTCAAAGCGACGCAAGACGTCAGAAAATTTCATGTTGGGCATAAAAACGAATTATAAATGCATTTAAAACGTAAACATTTTACATGTTTTTGTAGCAGTGACGTGTTTGCAGTGTTGCCACACGGATATAAAAATATAAATATATTGTTAGCTAAGAAAAAGCGCTAGAGTAGTGAAACGATATTTATTTAAGCTTAAAGCGAAGTACTTAGACACGCAAAATATTCTTGCGACAGAAAGTGCAATTTATTTCGCTCTGAGCCCAGTATGACCAAAGTAGACCCAAGTGCATGCTCTCTGGCTACACTGTTTTGTGGTTGTTTATAAAATGAAACACATTAGGAATTCAAATTTTTTTTACAAATATAGCGGAGTGCTGTATTTCAGAGTGGACATGGAGCATGGAGGACAACAGTGCATGTAGAAACCATAGCATTATTGGATAAGTCCGTTCCGGCAGGACAGAAATGCAATAAACAATTGTTTTATCTCTTTAAATTGATAAAATGAGTACATTTATCGCTCGTCTGAATAAATAAGTTCTAAATCGTCATAACATAACGTTATTTTCTAGTTTATTCTAGTGTATTATTCATTGTTTTATTAACCTTTTATTCCATTTTCACACATTTTCAATAAGGTAAACAAAACAACACAGCTGCCTGAGAAGTTACACCGTACAGAATGCGTTTTTCACCGCACAGTTTGCTAGCAAACTTGTTTTCGGTCTGAGTACTAGGCTTGATTCCTTCCTCGTTTCCTGATTCTGTATTTAATCGGCTAAGTTTTCTGCAAACTGCAAAATTCTTGAGGGAAAATTGTCTGTCGAACAAAGAACAGGGTTGATTTCTAATCGTTTCTATGGGAAAATTATCCCTGATTTTGTCTCAAGAATATTTTGCGTGTCTGAGGACTAATCTCTAACATTACTAGCTAAGAATCTCAGCCCACAGGTCATTTATTCAAGAATCGTATAAATTTATTGTTTCGTGGCTGAGAATCCTAACTATATGGTAATACTGAAAGGAATATAAAAATCGAGGATATTGATTTAGTATTCGGTATATTTTGAAGTGTGAACGTATATTAGATTTAGTATTTTTCTGGTGTATTTCTTGCTCATATTTGAAACGCAAAAATTAGTACAGGAGAGCGTCCAGCAGGAGAGAAATTCCCAGACTGCTTAGCAAACGGAGAGAACTCCCATCTCATAAAAGAGAAAAACTGAAAAAACCTAGAAAAAAACTTAAAAAAAACCGAGTATTAAAACGTTATTTTTATTGATTTCATCAAACATATTGTCTTCTGCAGCTTTAAGCATTCTGCAGACACTTCATAGTATGACAGCAAATATCTTACCGGCGTAGTGCGTAACTGCAAATATGACACATATCCATATGCAACAAACGGTATTTTTGCAAAAGCAGATGACGAAGACCTAATTATGTTTGGTTGTCTTGGAGTGTGCGCGCAAGAGTAAAATTCTAATTTCTGAAAATCTGTTTTGCTCAGAAAATGCTAAATAAACCAATACAAATAAATTTGCCAGCTATATTTTAAAGCAAAACAATTTTGACCTATTAATATTTCATTAATTGTCCCACTCTCGTGTCCGACTACATCTTCGTTCACCAAAGAGTTAGCCAGTCTAAAGAACCTAAACTAGACTATTTAAAAGAAATCTCAAGATGTATGTTCATTCTTCTCTAATCAGTTACTTAATAGCTCGGTCAAATTTCACTATTCTTAATGCTCAGTGCTATAAGAACTACCTACATTGATGCAGAATACGTTTTTCACAGGACCCTTAACAGTTTTACAGCTTTGTGAACATGTCATGTGTATCCATACAGTTTTCCAAGGTCGAACGTCATTTTCTGCCCTTTATTAACTGAAAGCTCCCTACTTGATGAAATATAATTAGTTAAGACAGTATTTTCACCGGGCCCTGACGGAGTTCCCAGCTGTGTACTCAGATACTGTGCCGAGTGCTTAAACTGCTTTAAACTTTGCTTAAACTATTTATTCTATCCATCCATTCTTCTAGCTTCAGTGTATTTAAAAATGAGCCCCCCGCGAAAAGGCGAAAACCTACAAAAGCTACAATTTTAAAGATAAAAGAAAACTACACACTAATTCCGTAGGGAATGACCATGTCTATCAGACCACCAAATTGGGATCCGATTGGATCATTATTATGGCCACAATAAAGAAATTAATTTTCAGTGGTTTAACCCACCCCGTCCCGCAGCTTATATTTGTTTTTTCACATTCTCTCATTCACACTCTGCTTCGGCCTCTGCCTCGAGTCTGCAGTGTGCGGGTCTAGGGAAGGGCGGCAAACTAAAGGAGCGTGTTGGTGTAAGAAGTGTTGTAGATGTAGATGACAGATGAAGAAAAAATGTAAAATTTGAAAAATGTTGTGCTAGGAGCCGGGTATAAAACTTGTGACGCGTAAGAAGCGTCTCACACGTCCCTTCTGGTTACTTTTTGATCTGCGTGGCCTTAACTAGGACGCAACTGTGAGACTGCCATCCTACCGTAGTAGATTACTTCTAATAATCCTTCCATCCTTATTTAGTCGTAGACAAATGCTTGGTGTAATTTGTATGCACAACTTGATCAAGGGGAATGTAGACAGCCCTCACTTATTGAGCCGCATAAACTTTACGATTCCCATTAGACCCACTAGAAACTTTAGTCCTTTGTTTCTTCCAATTTGTAGATCGAATTATTCCTCATGCTCGGATTATAATTCCCTCTATCAAATTATATCCTCCACTAACTACCTCCCTCTTCTTAAATCACTTATGCTAGCCTACCTCTCCCGTAGTTAGTTTTATTTTTCCTCGAATATTAGCCTAACATTTATCTCTCCTGCATGTTCGCGACCGCTCCGTGACACGCGGAACGTGTCATGCGGCAGCGCCCCTCGGTTGGTTGGGCGGGAGGAGGGCTGCGTTCTGCTCGGTTAAGACTGTTACTCTTTGGCTTGCCATCGCATGGGTCTCTTGATGGTGCAGTCATTGCCTATCAACGTCCAGATAAAAATTGAACTTTACTATTTAAAGAATATCATTGAATTCATAGAAAAATGCTTCAAATTCAAATTCAAATAAGTTTGCTTCACTTCTTTAGCTTACATTTTTATACCCGGTACTCAAGGAGTAAATAGGGTATATTGTATTTGTACGAATAACGGTTGTATGTAACGCACAGAAGGAAACGTTTCCGACCCCATAAAGTATATATATTCTTGATCAGCATCAATAGACGAGTCGATAGAGCCATGTCTGTCCCTCCTTATGAGCGCCGGGATCTCAGAGACTACAAAAGCTAGAGCCACCAAATTTTGCATCCAGACTTATGTATGTTCCCACTGTTACAAGTGTATTTAAAAATGAGCCACGCCCCCTTCCGCCCCTGAAAAAGGGCGAAAACCTCCCTAAACTACAATTTTGAAGATAAAAGAAAACGCCATTCCGTAGGGTAGGACCATATCTATCAGATCACAAAAATTGGGATCCGATTGGACTATTATTACAGACATAATGAAGAAATTAATATGCAGTGGCTAAACCCACCCCGCCCCGTAGCTTATATTTATTTTTTGCACATTCTCTCATTCACATTCTGCCTCGCGCAGTGTGCGGCTGCTGCCTCTGCCACGTCTCTGCCTCTGCCATGACTCTGCAGTGTTTTGCTCTAGGGAAGGGGGGCGAGCTAAAGGAGCGAGTTGGCGTGAGAAGTGTTGTAGATGTAGATGACAGATGAAGAAAAAAATTTAAATTTGACAAATAACCGCTAAGGTACTAAGGTACCGCTAAGTCATCATCAGACACTAATCTAAACAAGCGTATTAAGCGTTTAAGGACCACGAATAACTCGGGGAATTAAACCCAGTTTTAATTGTACTTCTACCAAAATGGCAAAACTGCTCAGTCCATTCAAAAATTCTTTCAGAAATTATAACCACGCGTTCTAATTTCCCAGCTTCCCAGCCGGCAATACATTAAAATTGTTTAAAAAAATTTCTAAAAATTTCTCATTTGTGCGTCTTAAAATGTGTAAGACTCTGCTGCAATTGCAAAATCATTCCCAGTACCAGAGCCCAGTACTAAGACGAGAAAATGCCCATACAAACGATAGGAAATCAACTCTTTTTTTTTTGTTCGACAGAAGATATTGCCGCCACAATTTTGCAGTTGAGTACTCAGATCAGCAAAAAATATTCCAGAAACCGGACGAAAGTACTAGAAATACGGCAGCAAAAGAAAGAATAAATATATCTTTTGTCGACAGAAACAAGAAACAAGGTAGGAAACAAGCGCAAGAGGGCTAGTAAAGAGCATTAAATGAAGACGGTTTAAAACTTATTCGAACGAAAACTGATTATACGGATATTATGATATATTAAACTTATGGTCAGTACTCATTTTATAAATTTATAAAGAAATAAAAAACATGTTTATTGAAACGGAATTATCCATTAGAATTGCGGTATTGCGGAATTACGGTGCTTTCTCCATGCATTGCTATCCTCCAAGCTCCATATCCATAATAAAATAACACTCCTCCTGCTTTCATACAAAATCTGAATTTTTATTTATTTACTTCAATTAACAATGGCTCGAGTAAATCGAACTTTTTTTTTCCTCAAGGAACCAAACCCACATTTTCCGATAGATATTATGGTTTTTTTTCTATGGCAGAACGTTTTTTTTTTAATAGTTTTTAAAGTCTGGTATTATTCTGTAACGGTTTTTTCAGAGGTAGCGATTCATTTTTTAACATAACTTAAGAATCTTACATCTGGTTGTAAAGATAATCTAATTGATGCAGCTAAAAAGTCAACCCATACATTTTGTGGTTTTCCCCGTCTGGGAAATATTAAGCTTTGAAATGCAAAAAAATTAAACTCGGGAAAATTAAAAAAAAATGTATATATTGTGTTCTCTGTTTTTTAATTGACAGTTATTGCTCATGAACATCTATGGAGAGACGACTGAGCTAAAATAGGTTAACCAACCCAAAAATTACGAATTGGAGGGTTGCGACTGTCCGAATATTCCACGCTTCAATACTCGAAAAATACTAAAATTCAAA